CAGAAAAATGCTTGTACGCTATTTGAATTATGTAATGACGCATCGAACGGGCCAATAAAGCCATTGAATAAGAGTCGTGTGCGTGAGCGAGCCGAGCTGTGGCCAACGGCAACAGCAGCATCAACATTCGTCCAAATCACAACCTGAAACTGCACCAGCAACATTTGAAGCCGTAAGGAAAATAATCGAATTATTATATTAAACAACTTTATATTGAGGTCCCTACCTCATTGTGCAGCACAAGCTGCCTTATTTATGAGCATTAAAGAGTCCCAGTAAGTCCCCAAGTTAGAACATACCCCGCACTCCGCTTAAAAGAGTTGTTTGTGTTCCTGTGTGTACGTTCAAAGACCGAGGAAGTCTCCTCGAACTTTACTCTTGCGAACTAAGCTCGTTCATACCTGTTCAATGGTAAAATAAGGGTGACGGAGGGGCGCGTATCATACTACTACGAAGACAATAGGAAAATAAACCAACAAAGACAGGAGTTTAAAGTGTGAATCTTTGAGCTGAAACGTGAGTAGATGTGATTTTTGTGTGAAAATTTTAAGGTGGCTGTCCCCAACAGTTCAATAACAAATCTGGTTAATTATTAATGAATTAAAATATGCACAAACATTAAGGATTGGAAATGTGCATTTATAAAGGCCACGTATCCTTTAATGGCTATTAAATCGCGTACTTATATTACATATTAGAATTGCTATCTTTTGCATATATGCATAAGCAATGAAAATGCATATCGAATGCAATTAATATAAATACATATATGGAGATAACGAAAAGAAAATCGTTTTTAATCAAAAATAAACTAATTTGTGTACAAACAGCTATGTATTTTTGTATAGTAATTGTTTATTACTGTGCTTATTTTATTATCATCCATAAAAATGTTGGGGGTGTTTCCTTTAATTATAAAAGCTTCAAAAATTTAATTATTCTTTTGCTGAACTCTAAAATTTTTATGATAAATATTTTCATACTTGAAGCATTCTAACTAAACAATTTAACGGAATGCTCTTAAAGGCATATATAATAATTTGAAAAGTAAAATATATGTAGGTATATTATAATAATACCCTTATACACTAGTAGTTTTGAACATTTGGCTGTAAAATTTAGGGGACATGCCTGCGTTTTCTTTTAAAGACTTGATATTTTTTAATGATTATACATTTTCAGGTAAACTTCTGGAGATTGTGTGTTTTCGGCTTGATTTTAACAAAAAAAAAAAAAATCATTACAACTTCTACATTTGTCACTAGCACTTAAAAAATCGCGATGGCAACCAGTGATGACGAGCCAATGCACCTTTATGAGGTATTCCAGAACTGCTTTAACAAAATCGCCAACAAACAGCCGTCCACTGGTGGCCCCGAACGAAATGGTGGTTATCAATCGCCTTACGGTGGGCTGGGTATGGAAAATGGTATGTACCCCAACGACGACTTCAATCCAATGCACGACACAGCAGGCAGTAGTAATCGATTTAGCGATGGAGGAGCTGTAGTAAATCAGTATTTTGACACTAATCTTGGAAATGGTGGGGGTGTTCCTCCAAGTGGTCCTGCTGGATCCAGCGGTGGTTGGTATTCTTCTCCTGTAGGCGGCTATGGCAA